TTCAAATTTTAATCTAATTTAAAATCAACAAATAATTTTAATCACATATTTCACGAGTCTCATAAATTTTCAACCACATATTTCATCAACTTTTATGAAAACAACTAAAAATTTAATTTTAATCTCTACCAAACAGTGGCGTAGATTTTAATTCAAGTCAAATCAAAAGTGAATTTTAAGCACATATTTCACGAGTCTCACAAAATTTTAACCACATATTTCATCAACTTTTATGAAAACAACTAAAAATCTAATTTTAATCTCTACCAAACATGGGCCTAGATTTTAATTCAAGTCAAATCAAAAGTGAATTTTAAGCACATATTTCACGAGTCTCACAAATTTCCAACCACACATTTCATCACCTTTTATAAAAACAACTAAAAATATAATTTTAATCTCTACTAAATGAGGGCCTAGATTTTAATTCAAGTCAAATCAAAAGTGAATTTTAAGCACATATTTCATGAGATTCACAACTTTTCAATTACACATTTCATCAACTTTTATTAAAATCTACTAAAAATCTAATTTTAATTTTCACCAATTAGGGGCATAGTAAGTTGCGCTTTGTTTGTGATGAATTATCGTTACTAGTAATAAGGTAATGGAGTAGGGTATTATTTATATGAGAACCGCGTTATGAATTATCAATTTTATTTAAATAATTAATTTGAAAAAACCGTGAATAGCAATTAAGGTTCTTAGTGTAATTATATAGTAAGTTGGTCTCCAACTTCAAATTTTGGAGGTATAAATTTTTAAACCTTTCAATTTTGTTGCTTGATGATTCTTAGTGGATGAAACCATCCACTTCATCTAAAAAGTCAAAATTGTCATAATATTGTAGAAAAAACTGTTATACTGTTAGTTCAAGAAAAGTCAGAGTAAATAAATATGGAAAAAAATATATACATATTTTTAATTTGGAAAAGGAAAGGATGAGGAAATGGATCACTCAAAAAGGAGAATTGCAGAGGTCCACAACTATGGCCGGTGTAGTAATTGGTCTCTTAACTTTTAATTTGTTACATTTATACTGTGGTCACCAATAGACACAATCCAATTACTTGAAAATTAAGATGTCTAAAAAGACTATTATAATCTATTTTAAGTAAAGAAAATATAAATGAATAAGAAAACGAGATAAACATAAAAATCAAACAAAAATAAAATATAGAAGGGGGCATTACTTTGCATATCTTGTACAAAACATTTTTAATGGATGTTTGTCTATATGGAAATATGGTCTTGTTTGTCGGAGATTTTTTATAATAAATTTTGTGAAAAATATACATATTTTAAAAAATATAGTTAAAAAGTAAAAAAAAAAAAAAAAAAGTAATAATAATAAAAAAAAAAAAAAAGAAAGAAACCCAA